CGCGCATGCCATTTGGTCTTCGGAATGCAGCACAAACATTCCAACGCTTTATGGATGATGTCTTCCGTGGTTTGAATTTTGTTCATGTCTACATCGATGACTGTCTAATTGCGAGTCAAGATAAGGAAACTCACCTCAAACATTTGGACCTTGCATTCCAAAGACTTTAAAAACATGGCATCACAGTCAGCTTACAGAAGTGTGAAATGGGAGTTGAATCACTCAGCTTCCTTGGATATAACATTGACAACAAAGGCATACGCCCATTGAGAGATAAAGTAGTGGCTATCACAAACTATCCAGAGCCGACCACTGTGAAACATCTCCGCACTTCCAATGGCCTGGTAAGTTATTACCGAAGGTTTATCCCCAACTGTGCCTCTGTCATGAGACCACTAACAGATCTACTTCGAGGAACTACGAAGTTCGTGGCTCTGGACGACGTGGCTAGAGTCGCTTTCTCTAAGGTCAAAGAAGCCATTTCGAACGCAACCATGCCTATGCATCACGACCCCAATGCTCCCTTGAGTATTGCTGTTGATGCATCTGACTTAGCGATTGGAGCAGTTTTGCAACAACTGACTGACAACCTGGGGCAACCACTAGCCTCATTCTCGAGGCGGCTGCAAGACGTGGAAGCAAGGTACAGCACATTCGGCAGGGAACTCCTACCTACGTGTTGCCCTATACGCCACCTTCGACGTTCGGTGGAAGGTTGTCATTTCATTATTTTCACAGAACACAAACCGTTAATCTTTTCCCCCAGCTCAGCGTCTGGCGAATGCTCCCATAGGTGAGTAGCCACAACTGGATCACATTTCCCAGTTCACGTCAGACATTCACCACATTTCTGGAGCAAATAACTCTGTAGCCAATGCCCTATCACGAATACCTTCGATAAATCATATCGAGGGCATTGATCTCGTTGAACTAGCTCGGTGTCAAAAAGAAGGCCCTCAGCTGCTACATGAGTTGTCGTCCACAACTCTCAAGCTGCGACTTTGTCCGGTTGGATCAGACAAGGATACAATTTTGTGTGATGCCTCTGCTAGTCAACCACGCCCAATAGTTCCAAAGAGTTGTCGACGCAACGTCTTCAATACGTTGCACAAACTCTCTCATCCAGGTGTACGAGCCACCATTAGGCTTATCGCACAACGTTTCTGCTGGCCTGGGATGAACAAAGACGTTAAGGAGTGGGCTCAGTCGTGCTTAGCTTGTCAAAAGTGCAAAGTCACGCGACACATGAAAAGCCCTTTAGGCTCATTTCTAGCCCCAGATATGCGTTTCGACCACGTCCATATGAACATTGTAGGACCCCTAGCAGAATCTAATGGATGCACCTACCTTTTCACTTGTGTTGATCGTTTCACACGATGGCCGGAAGCAGTACCTATTAAGGATATTACTGCTGAAACAGTAGCTCGTGTTTTCGTCGAAAGATGGATCGCGAACTTCGGATGTCCATCTTACGTCACAACCGACCGTGTGCGCCAATTCGAGTGTGGACTATTTCACGCTCTAACGGCACTTTTAGGTTGCACTCGGTTCCGAACGACAGCCTACCATCCACAAGCAAATGGCATGGTAGAGCGTTTCCATCGACAGCTGAAAGCTTCCCTTTCAGCTACAAACATACCTCAGTGGGCCGAGGTTCCGCCTCTAGTCCTACTAGGTATTCGTAACGCCTTGAAAGTTGATGCTGGATGCACCTCTGCAGAACTCGTCTATGGGACCACTCTTCGCCTACCAAGTGAATTTGTTTCCCCTTCAACTTTCAGCCATATTCCCCACAGAGCATCTTACGTGACGAGGCTTACAAACGCAATGCGTTCAGTTAGGCCTTCTCCTGTTAGACCTCAAATGACTGATGTCTTCGTTCACCCCAGTTTACAAAAGACATCACAAGTGTTTATTCGCCACGACGCCATTCGTCAACCACTTGAACCACCCTACGATGGGCCATTCAAAGTGAGCAAGCGACGCGAGAAATTCTACATGACTGGGCGAAACGGACGTCAAGATGCTGTCAGTATCGACCGTTTGAAACCGGCTTATTTCTAAGGCAACCTCATTATAAGTGGCGTTTCGGCTCACTATAGCCGACAGACGAACAGCCCAGTCATCGGAATTCTTGAAAGTATGTTTGGTAGTGCACAGTCACGACAACCACTGGCACGACAGAAAACACGATCAGGTCGAACAGTCAGGTTTCCGGAGTATTTGAAGTCGTATTCAACTTAGTGGTGTGAAATAAGATGTACCAACCATACTTTTTTCAGTTCAAAATTTTTTCCCAGGCACTATTTTTCTTATTTACCGGCAACGTCAAAGTCCTCGTACATTTTGTCTTTTCATATCAATTTTTATTACCATGTGGTGAAACCTAAAAAGCGGTGAAAATGAGCTTAAACTTTATCTTCGATACATTTATATATACATAATTCCCATTTCTGCGAAACGCTTTCGTGGTATCAGAGACTTTTATTTATTTTCCAGGTGCAACGAGCACTGGATGGAATGTCAAAGGAAACTGAGGACCACGACTGACGTCCAATTCTGTTTATTGCATCTTATTTTTCAATTGCCACGACACCCTAGATTAAGTTCAGACAACCAGGGGCCAATTCATGCAGTGAGCCCATCAGAAGAGTTTTACCAGTGGAAAAACCACTGGGCTTTTACTTCCAGCTGGTATCGTCTTAGGGTCTTCACGAACCCACTAGGGGGTGAGTGATCTGTAGCGTCATACGTTTCTCCTGAACCAATAGCCTAGGGTTCGACGACATTCAACATTGATGCTGACCTTGATAGTTTAACTGGACTCACTAAGCTGAAGGCACCTGGTCAGACCAACTCACCATTTGGCATGCTGTCGTGTTGCGTTGCACTGCTCGCATTCGACTCTCTGGTTGGTTAGCTGGAACACACCGGTATCTTGGCACAACCGCCTAAATATACCACTCCATCCGACTACGCTATCATGTTCTTCCTTGGTCTCGTATTCGTGGGTATATAACAAGTCCGAACGATTAGTGATTGGTATTTGCGTCCGTCAGCTTCTCACCAGGACAATTCCTAAAACGTCACAGTTCCGGAAGAAAGTAAAGCTTATTCAAGTAGTACGCAGACACGGTCGTTCTTAAAGATACATTACATGACTCAGACGTCAATACAGAGTACATTTATTTTGCCTGCATGATAAACACTCGTACATTTCTTCATAAGATTTCGGAATCATCGCAATCCTTTTCTTGTCTCTTGCTGGTTTAGGAGGTATTTTCTGGAGGATGTTAACAGCGTCACTTGAAGATGTTTCACCTTCGCACAAATTGCAGAGAGCGGTCATCTTGATATTTCAGGGTAATCGCTGCATTTTATTCGAGTGTAAATATTCTTTTAGACGAAGTATCCCACATGGTTGGCCCTGAGGCTTGTATGGCACTGGTTCACTTGAGCGTGGTCATGCCCCTTTGAGACTTTTAACATTCATCTGTCTGGGAGGCTGGAAACATGGCATCGAAAACTTTCCGACAAACCTACGGCTGCCTGCGGCACACAGCAGTGATGTTGTTGATGAGGAGTTCCAAAAATCATTCTGGTGTTGACGATAACATTTTTCTGAAAGGCTGTGTTTCTCTGCTTATTTGGATATACCACAGCAAACGATTTAGTTTAGATTCCAACTTAAAAAAACGTAAATAGCTCCAACATTTTCCGTCGGTTCTAACAGACAGGGGACTACCGTACTTTAAAATGTCATCAGTTAATGACGATCGTTCCTGAACTCCGTATTATCATATTCAGCGGGCTCTCTCTCTCGTTGTTTTCAAATAATCTATTAGCTCCCCCTCCCACCTTGTTAATTTAGCTTTTTTATCCTTCCTTTATCACTATTATTGTTATTGTAATCGCCTTCACTTTAATTAGTTTCCGGTGTTATTTCACTTAATTGTCTTAATCCTTTTGGAAAATATCGACTTCATCCTGTCCAGCTTTTCTAATGTCATTACATAGTACTCAATTAATTTACCATTTTCAACAACTTTTCCCCCTTCTGAGTCATATACTTTCTATGTACCATTCCCCATACTACATAATCTATTTGTCATCATTCACACCTCAATTGTCATTGTGATCACAAATGCTTATGTCATCATCCGCTTTATTAATATTGTCATCATCATATACTGTTTAGTCTTCCTCAGGGGATATAATTTTTTTAAATACCATATATATATATATGATTGTACAGCTTGAAAATAAATTCGTTGAAAAGAGTCTCTTGGCTGAATATCTTGTTCTTGAAATAACTGATCATCATTTGATATAGCTAAATGTTCTCTAGAATTGTCTCTTAGCTGGGTTCTCACCCCATCGACTTCCAGGAAGATTGGCACAACAAAAAAGTGAATGTAAGCTTCACTTGGGGAATCGCAGTTCTGAAACCTGTTTCTCAAGATATTATTGCATTTTGTGTGAATTAAAGGCTGCGACTGATACGTCGACTGGGAAGATTGATTAAAAACTTCAGCATTACCTCTTTTGCTTCATATTCACCAAGGGCATGGGACATAAATCTATTCACCCACCTCCCCAAGTAAGATAAAGTTCTTCTCTACAGACCTCCAAATTGTTCCTAATTGCTCTAATTGTTCATCGTGTCCTCTTCATGAATTGGACAAGAGGTTATTAATAATGTGTTTTCATGCAGTAATTTAGTTTGTATTGCACTAACACAAGACGAATTTCCAAGGCGTATTGCTCTAAGTTTTGTTATTGGAGGCAAATACCTCTAACTTCCTTTGAGTATGCACTTCATTAGACAATATAGAAAAGTGAGGTAAAATCCAATAGACACTTTGATTAGTTCATACATAAATTTAAAAGTCAGTCTTAGTCCACAAGACATATTTTTTCTTCAAGATTTAACTCGTGTTTGTTGAAGTGATCTCTTGTTTTATTATACCAAAGTATATATTCCTGAGTTTCGCTAGTATTTTCAGTCACGTACTTGTAAAATGACGAAAGCTAAGGTTGGGATCAACGGGTTTGGTCGTATTGGGAGGCTTGTACTCAGAGCGTCAATCTTGAAAGACACTGTGGAAGTAGTTTCTCTGAATGACCCTTTCATTGACTTGGAGTATTTGGTTTATATGTTCAAGTATGATTCAACTCATGGGAGGTTCCACGGAGATGTTTGCATCAAAGACGGGAAACTGTGTGTAAATGGAAGGCTTATTTCTGTTCATGGTGAGCGAGACCCAGCAAATATTCCCTGGGAGAAGGAGGGTGTTCAGTACGTTGTGGAGTCTACGGGAGTTTTTACAACTATTGACAAAGCATCAGTAAGAATACTTTGTAACTTACACTTATTCTGCCATAGGCGCATATTAAGAACAATCGATCCACGAAAGTTGTTATTTCAGCTCCCTCAGCTGATGCACCTATGTTCGTTGTTGGCGTGAATGAGAAATCGTACGACAAGTCAATGACGATTGTATCAAACGCATCATGCACAACAAACTGCCTAGCTCCTCTGGCTAAGGTTATCAATGACAACTTCGAGATAGTCGAGGGTCTCATGACTACTGTTCACTCATATACAGCCACGCAGAAAACTGTAGATGGACCGTCACAAAAACTGTGGCGTGATGGTCGTGGTGCTGCTCAAAATATAATCCCAGCTGCTACTGGTGCAGCAAAGGCTGTCGCTAAGGTCATCCCCTCACTACAAGGAAAGTTAACCGGGATGGCTTTCCGAGTTCCTACCGCGGATGTGTCAGTTGTCGATCTGACATGTAGATTGGGCAAAGGTGCTTCTTATGATCAAATTAAGGCCGTCGTGAAAGCAGCAGCTGAAGGTCCAATGAAAGGCATCTTGGAATACACTGAAGATGAAGTGGTTAGCTCAGATTTCATAGGATCTACGTCGTCATCCATTTTTGACGCAAAGGCTGGTATCTCTCTCAACAATAATTTCGTGAAACTAGTCGCTTGGTATGTTTGCTCGCTTTCATTTCATAACTTCACTTTTTTTTAGGTATGACAATGAGTTCGGTTACAGCTGCCGGGTCGTCGATCTGATTACCCACATGCATAAAGTTGATCATGCATAATGAAATAGTTCCTACTAGTAAATGGTTCTGTTGAATGTTAGATAAAAGCAATAAAGCGTTTTCTTAAATAGAACTCCGATTTCTCCCTCCTTTGGGATGCTGTACCATCTCTTTCAGGCGTATTTAAAAGATTAGGGCAGCATTATTTGGCTACTGTATAAATCTTGTTTCAGTTGTTTATGTCCTAAGCCAGTTCCCCCTTGCCTTAACGTTCCTGAAGGTCCTTGTGACTGTAAGGTAGTACCCTTCGTCAGTAGCATGACGTTATGCGCTTAGGGACGCGGTACTTGAAAACCGCGTGACAAGTATCTGTACCATCGTTATCAGGGAGTCCGGGTTCCTATGCTGTTTTGCGACCATCGTTATAAGTTGTCCTAGACATTGGACGTCAGCCGACTGTTAACTTTCTACCGCATCACGCTTGTGGTGATGCACGGGAGACTTGTTGCCTTTGTATTTCCTTGTTGGTTATCAGTCTGAAAATAGGTATCGTCAGCCTTATTTGCTGCGGTTGCGCTGTGGTCTGCAGGCGTTCTTTATGATTGTGACGGGAGAGCAGGTAAAACCACTTTTCTACTTTCGATACTTCAATACTAGTACGACTCAACCGACATTTACATTCGGTGGTGTTATTCCATAGTGTAGTGTCACATGACAGGAAACTAGTGGCTTAGTACTTTACCGATTATTTGGATTTTCTGTAGAGTCGTCTCTATGCGTGGGTCAGTTAGATCCATACGAAGAGGTCGAGTCTGGGAAATATCGTTGGACAGTAAGTCAGTTGGAATGTTGGAGCTTTATTGTGCTTGGGGTTTTGGTGTCTAGTATGGGGCTTTAGGGCTCATTTTCCCATTTCACTGATAAGAGGAGGGAGGGTTATCAGTTTCAGAAATTTGTAGTTGGGTATTCGTATTTGAATGCAATATTGGTTCTTAGTCTATTTGAAATAAAATGAGTAGCACACCGACTAGCAATTTAATTAATGCCATGTGTTAGTCATGATAACAGCTAGAAGATCGGGTATCTATTTGTTGGCTGCAAAAATAGAAACATTGTGAGAAATTACGAAGCATAGGTATAAGACGTGCACTCATACATAGGTATACTCCTGTCTCGATCAAATAGCTGGATTGTAGACCTTGATACAAAAGTACGACATACACTGGTTACTGTAATTCCTTATTTTTCAATTGTGGGCACAGTAAGACAGTTTATTAGCAATCATCGAATACTTTCTCACTGTGATAAACGAAATAAAGTGTATTGCAGGTTCATGTAGTCTTTGAACTACCTTTGTCGAGATAACACGAAGTCATTCGTACACATCACTTCAGTGGTTCACCTATACAATTATAAAGCACAACTAATACTAGTACAAACGTTAGGTTTCGTGAAATCTCTGCTCTTTTAATATTCAGAAATGACTCATTACTGCAGAGTTACCCACTGACTCTGTTTTTATGCTGTATAGATCTTTTCATGTACTGGTGTGTTACCTGTGTACATCCCTCTTACATCGAGTCACTTCTTGACTACTTTATGTATGTAGTAAAGTACATATTCCCAGTCCTTCCTCCTACTTTGCGTTTGATTTCCGCGGACTATGGTATGCTGTTTTTGGTCGGAAGTTTAACTTCTCTAAATCCACGTGGTTTTCTGCGCAGCGTCGTTTGACTAGTTTTTATTATTACTTTGTCGTATTTACCCACAACTGATAGTAATGTTTGACTGTTACGAGCATAAAGTTTAGATCAAGCTTCAATCTTTGAAAGTAATCCACATATGGGTTCTAGTTACTTTATCACTCAGTCAGCATCCACCTGCTGTCTACCACTACTGGGCAACGGTCATAGTTATCACACCTTATATTAGCACCTCAAGTTAGAGAGTATTGGGGAAGGAAGTAGTCAAGTTTTAGACATCCTGAAAAGAGGATAAGGTGGGAGATGATAAATTTCAGCGTGATGATTAAGATGAAGATAATATGTGTATGCATCTTCGCCGTTGAGATTGATTCTCGGCCGTGTCACCTACCCTATACGACCGCTGATTTCGATTATCACGCGGGTTCTAACCAGGATGCCTGCGGCTAAAATCAACAGTTAGAAACTTCGTATGGTGGTACCATGTTTTATTTTGGTCGCCTACAAAATTTGTCCCGCATACTCGCTTCAGTTAACATTGTTCGATGGGATAGACGGTGTCTAGGCGTGTGTAACGCATGTCTCAGTCGGTGAAGATTTGCAGCCTCACTAGCCGGATTTCGTCTTCTCTCTAAAAAGGGACACGTGACTTCTACATCACTAACGTGGTGACTCTACGACTTGCAATATACACTGCGAATGTCAACCACTTGAAGCCTTTTCATATCCTCCACCTTTAATAGTCATGTTTCACTACCATCTAGTAGGACAAAAAAACTGCAGCATATCACACCCCACCCTTAACAGACAACCGGATATCATGGCGGTGCTATAAATGGCGTTAGTTAGCGATAGCCAAGTAAGCCTTTCTTATCTGTGCACAGATTTCATCGGGAACTGACCCACTAGGCCTGATCTGACTTCCTATGTAAGTGAAGTGGTCAACATGCCTAACCATTTCACTCCCCATTGGTAGACAAGGTTCCAGCAAACACCAGTCCTGGAGCAGCCATTTGCATTTGGTGGCGAAAAACATTCTGGAATCGCTACTCAACTTCTCCAGAAGACTGTACATCTTGTCACTGCCTTCACCTAACAGGAATATGTGATCTGAGTACTCCAATTCTACCGAGGATTACCCTATGTCATGGTCAATCTTTATGAGGTCAGACAACGAGTGGGAGGTGCCTTCGTGACTACGACTATTGAGAAATTAAATAAAAGTGGTAATAGTGGACATCTTCAATGGACTGCACTCGACGTTCACAGTCCACTTGATGTCTCACCTTATAATTGGGTGTTTGAATATAGAACCTTCATCAAAGTGATTTATTTCATCAGCACCCCGTTCAGTTGGAGACGTTGCCAATAAGACCTCTCGGTCGACGGAATCAAAGATACTTTCAGACCTAGAAATACAGCTGGGTTAGCCCCAACAAGTGTACCTATGTTTCAGAAACTGGCAGAGGTGGAATATCTTGCCCATACACACACGACTAGGTCTGAAAAATCCCTGATTTTTTCGGGTTTGTTGTCCTCAAGCTCCACTTAGGTATCTGATAATGATAAGACATTAGTCATTATATTAGTCAGACTGACTTCCGTGTGGTTAATTAGAAAAGGATTCCTTGCTTTTCGTTTACTGCGGACTGGAGATGGCACCACACCTTTCTCGGGTCAGTTATTTTGTTCTCTATCGATAACTGCCTAGCCAATTTCTTGCTGAAAACATTCGTAATATTCTCACTTGTCAAGCAGCACGCGCAATATTGTTTATGGTGTAATTTTCCCACGTCCATTGATGCACAGATATATGAGGCATCAAATCACAGCAGCAATCTTCCCCCAACTATTTCTAGTGATGACTGATAACAGTATGATCTACCTGTGTCCTCCGCTGAGTTGAGGTTGGTGAACACCAAGTCAGACAGTCTTTTTTAGATCTGAAGTTTGTACTGACCAGAGGTAGATGGTTGTCTGAGCACAGTTGTAGCAAGCGATCGGAGTTAACAGTTTGTTCGACCAGTATTCCAAAATTTCCACCTCAGTGCCTTTCTGTCTAACTTAGTCAACTGACTTATGCATTAAAATCACCCGCAACGACGACCACTTCTGATGTCTAGCGTTCAGTAGGAGGCTAGATAGTCTTCCGTAGAGCTCACCCTTCACTTCATCCAAACTTCAATCAACCGGCGCGTGGGCAGAGATTTGAAAAAGACAACAGCGAGTCTCACTATAATTTTTAGTCCTCACAGTGCTGTTCAGTCAAACAGTGCATAGACAACTGTCAAATGGGATCCAGTCGAGCAGTGCACTTTATGCCTTAGAACTCAATACTGTACCTACACCTACAAGACCACGACAAATAGCTATCGAATCTCCAAAAAGCCAGAGGGCAAATTTCGCAGATTCACCACATTGATCGGGTGAGGTTAAATGGATAACGATACGGGTCCGGTATATATGTCTTGCAAACAGCATACATTCATACGCGGAATTGGTGGAGTTTAGTCTAGAGAAGGTTGCTGGTCGATTTGAGGGAGGAGGTGGACATTGGATACCTAATCTGTAGTTTGGAGTGCGATTTCAGGAGACCAGGGATGCTGTTCCGTTATCAGCAGCTGCAGAGTTGCAGAAAACTAAAGATGATGTAAGAATATTGACCGAGAGAAGTGAAAAAAAGATTAAAGTTAAGGATGTGGACGGTGATCTGAAGGAATTTGAATGCAGACAGAGATATAAAGGTGGTTGACACTTCCCGGCTACCCACACCGTGGAAGGTTAGTGCTTCTTGAGGTACCTGAAAAAGGGCCAGGTGCAACCATAGAGCATAAATGAACATCTGCATGGGGCTACTCACATGGTCGTTTTAGAAGTTTAGAATTTCAGTTTCGTAGTTTTGAATCTGACTGTGAATCCATATTGCCGGTGTCGGTGGTTTGTGTGGTAAAGGGGTGTGCGCTATTTTTAGGAACAAGCTTTTCTGCCCCCTTTTTCCCATACAAGAGGCGGGATCAGTATAACACTGCTGGTCTTCCGTGGCAAACACCTCACTGCTATCACACATCCGTCTAGATAGATCTACGACTTTGCCCTCGAACCCTCATCATGACACAGGAATTTACACCTTTACTGGGACCTCTTTTTATCTCATCACTATCCAACTGACCTATCTCGTATGATAGGACCTCGGGGGAACAAGCTTTTCACCAGCATAGCTTAGTGGATCACTGTGATATGTAAACCTGACAACCAGGTCAGGGTAGCACCTACAGGTAGTTTACCAATCTTCTTTGTTCATGACAACTTCTCTGAGACTATTCTGGAGTGCGCCACTTGTTGGTCATTCAGTTTTCAGTTATGTGATTCAGTATTCATCTCGGAATACAATAAAAAAAACTTAGGTTTTAGCTAGGCATAATTAATCAGCATAGGTCATACAAACATTCTTAGTTTTAGTACTTTGGACTGTGATTACGAATTTACAAAATTCTTCATGAAGGAAGTGTCGTGTAGAAATTTATGATTGACAGGATCGAAATCAGTGAAGTTTGCAAAATGAAGACACTTTACGGAGCGAAAATCGAGGAACTACATAAAAGGTTTTCTATGGCAGACAAGACATTTTTTGGGCTGGGTGGGAATAGAATGCTGTACATCATTCACGTTTTATTCGAAATTATTAGTTGATAGTTGCATAAAGATAAGCATCGTTATTCAACTTGGTTATGTCTCATGAAGGAAGAAAAATGGAATGGTGTGTATATGTTTAATCCTCATTTAGTTCAGTTTTACCAAGTGAAGTATATGGTATGATGCAGATTAATTAATCTTGTAACTAAAGTCACAAAGCTTTGGAAATGTATGGTATATGTATTGTGCTTCTTGAGGTACCCGAAAAAGGGCCAGGTGCAACCATAGAGCATAAACAAACACCTGCATGGGGCTACTCACACGGTCGTTTTAGAAGTTTGGAATTTCAGTTTCTTAGTTTTGAATCTGACTGTGAATCCACATTGCCGGTGTCGGTGATCTGTGTGTTAGAGTGATGTGTACTATTTTTAGGGTTGACTCTTTATAACTCCTTATCCCCCCCCCCCTCTAAATGCGGAAGGTAGCACCAACCTGA